CCCAGTCTGGATTGCACTTGGGTTCAGTATCTCAAGACACATCTTCAGTCTTCTCCAAAACCAAAAGAAAAAGTCTACGACATCTGTTCACAAACTATGAGACATGTGGCCTTAACAGAGGTAAAGGCTGCATAGTTATCAGCGTACGTACGTACTCTCATTCATAACAATGCTCGTTAAAAAGTTACCAAAAATGACAAGTCTAATAAGGATTTGGATCCTCTCCACTACAAAAAAATAGTGGAGAGAGCACTACTTTTAATCTCAAGCATTGATTATTTAGTAGACGGTTATGATACAATCTAAATCTAACACTTACCATACCCCCGTGTATTGCACTCATTCCTAATTTGCACTAAAAGAAAAAATCATAACTATCAACTAGATAATCAATGGCTGTGATTATGTAGTGGTCCCTCCACTATTTTTTTGTAGTGGAGAGGATCCGAATCCGTCTAATAAGCCTTCGTTATAAGCGTGGCACAAACCATGAGACACGTGGCCTTTAACAGAGGTAAAGCCTGCACAGTTATCAGGGATGCATACAAGGAATGGATTTACAGAGAAAAATATGAAATAGATCACATCATTTCTTGGTAAATAGAATAGATTGAAACTCGGTTGTATCAGGATATATATATGAGTTGTCACATTAATTATTGTTAGAATTAATATAAAACTATAATACTTGATCATTACCATAACTTCACTACAACACCTGAAATCTACCATAGCGGCCGAAAAACGCTATGGTCTTATTTCATAGCGTTTTAATCAACGCTGTGTCAGAACCCGCTATAGTAGGTCTGTGGCTTTACATAGCGTTTTCCCAAACGCTATCGAAACGTTTCCAACCATATCGTTTTTATGTAGCTATAAAAGAGTATTCAATAGTGTTTATATATTGCTATGACAAATATCTTTTATATCTACATAAAAACGCTATTAGTTAGTTTCCAACCATAGCGTTTTTATGTAGCTATAAAAGAGTATTCAATAGCGCTTCTATATTGCTATGAAAAATATCTTTAATAGCGGTTGAAAACGCTATTAGTTAGTTTTCATTCATAGCATTTCAACGCTGCTATTATCTTACATTTGATAGCGTTTGAGTTACTACAATGGCGTTTCAGTGAATGTTGTCTTTCTTCTTTTAATAGCATTTCAACAATTGTTTCCACTTCTTATAGCTAGCATTTCAGTTGTGCCTATAAACCTTTAAGGTTAAACTAAAAATAACTTCCAATTGTGACAACCATAAAAGCAAATATTTCATTTAAAGATTCAAACTAATACATAACCAAGTTATAGCATACAAGAAGAGTCAACACAAATGTGCCAAAAAAACAAATACTAGTATTTGGATAGTCCAACATGGAGTACAAGAAATTAACCATAATACACAGAACAACAGAAACTAAATTTGCTGCATTACATATGACTTGGAAGACTCATCATCTTCAGCATTTGAGTACTTGTACTGCTTCAAAAAAACAGAAATTAACAACACCAATAATGAGATCCTAGAGCCATGAACATTATATGGACACAAAACATAAAACAACACCACCATTAATTAAAAATCACAAGCTTATATTAATTTCTTTAATAATTTTGTTTAAATTTGTTATTAATAAAAATAAGAAGACAATAATTTGTTCTTTATTAATTTATGCATGAAAAACTGGCTTTAATGATAGCAAAGAGAGTCAATACCTTTATTTGAATGGTTAGGTTGCTCTTTCTGATCCATAGCCTTTCTTTATGGTCAGGGTGAAAGCGATACACCTTCAGGGTCAGCATGCAGCTGGTACTCTCCAGATAGCTGGTCTCATTTCCCTATATTGATATATAAGGCTTGAGCATTAATTTCTTGTGTGAATATTGGTGTAAACATAATTGATATAGTTGATTGCTAAATGTATAATACAAGGAGCAAATGTTGAACAAAAACTAGTGGAAAATAAAAGAAAAATGCACATCATGCATCAAATATTCCCCACAAACATCATCCAAATCCAAATGTAGTGGTCTAGCGGCAACAAAAACAATAACACTGATGATCCTGTGTGTGTAATCTTTCTCAAAGTAATATCCAAAGTACATCGTACAGTTACTGAATGCTAAAAAAACATATGAAAATGTTTGCAGTAGATGCATGCAAGTGATATAGCTGATTTCATCCGGAAAGAAGTTAACTTGCCACCTGTTTTTCAACTTTGGCTTTTGACCAAATGACAAAATAAACTTCCTATCTAACAGGACAGCTTTAACATCTTAATCTTTTTCTTTTTCTTTCCTTTTAGAATTGCTGTAAACATAATTGATACCTCTATTTCTTGATTGCAGTGAGTGATAATTTGCATCCACTGCTTGCAGGAGCTATTTTAGTGTGTTCTGTCCCTCCTTACTCCTGATCCCAACCGGCATCACAAGCAGTAGATGAAAGAATCGATCAGCATGATAATTTAATGCTTTTAATTAAGAGAAATTGAAAGAGAGAGAGTCTAAAAGCACTATAAGCAGAACATGAAACTCTAATGCTCTTCGCTCCCATCCCCGGTTGCTTATTTTGTATTTCATTTGGTAAACACAGTGAATAATACCTCCAAATTAAGACAGTCCTTGTTATGCTCTCTATTACTAACTACCCACTTTCTGTCAAAATTTCCCTCAAAAAACTCCTGCCTGGATACGGTCCAGCTCCCAAGCCACTATTCTATATTCCATTAGCCGGTAAACAAATATATAATAATAAATAGATTTCTAAATAACGAATCACAGGGTAACCTCGATAATCTGGTAGTAAAAAAATCAATAGGCAAACCAACTGTAGAAAACAGCAACTAATAACAAAAGATAAAGTATCAATTATAAACCTTAGGGCTTGTTTGGATTGAGGGGAATGAGAATGAAGGGAAGTTAGGGGAACCATTCACCTTGTTTGGGAACACTTAGGAGGTGAAGTTAATTCACCCCAGTTTCCCTTGGTTCACCCCCTAATAGTATAAAAATTGTTACCCCCCAAATTTGGGTGTAACCAAAGGGAAGGAAATTCCCGTCCCTTCCCTTCCCTTTCCTTCACTCAGTTTCCCTTAACTTCCATTCACCCCCTACAAATCCAAATATGCCCTTAGTACATAAATCAAGTTCTGCGTAGAGTATGGCGTGATCTGTATGCAAACCAAGCTTAACCAGCAGCATGAGATCAGCAGCAACATGAATCAGAGCTTAACCAGAGTATGCAAACCAAGTGTAAGGGTAAAGCATAGAAGCTGAGATCAGTATCACACAGAAAAGAGTATGCAAACCAAGTGCACTTTCTAACCACAACAGCATTTAAAGTAGTCACCAATTATGTATAACTTACCAGCTTTTCAAAGCATAACAACTTTGTCTGACGGCCAAGCTATTGTCGTACCAACGGCATCTTCAATGCATTCTAACTCAGATGTCGGCCTCCAAAGAGATGCACTAGGGATCCTAGGGATATCAACCCAAACACGCATAGCATTAGGACCTAAAGGAACGAAGTGAACAACCTGGTTCGGATCACTTGAAGACCAATGTCCTTCAGCAACTATCTTTCCCGAGCCACCAATATCTAACAAGTTGCACTTTTTCTTTGAGTTGTTCACACTCTAGCAACAATACAAAAACAGTGATATCAATTATAGAAAAGAAACTAGTATAATCAAATATCAAAATAATGATAGTATCAGAAAAAAAGGTTACCGAAGGAGATGATATGTTTGTAGATTCCACATTGTTAATTGAGATATTTTCCAATACAACCTTGTCAGCAGGCCACGCTACTTTAGTGCCGATAGCATCTTCAATAGATGTCATGTCAGGCGTGGGTCTCCATAAAAAAGCTTCAGGACTTGTTGTGACATCAACCCAAACAATCATGGCATTAGGTCCGAGAGGAACGCCATTAACAAGCATTTTTGAATCATTGGAAACCCAACGACCTTCAGCAACAATTTAATCTTTTCCGGTCCAATTGAAGATCTTGCACTTTATATGATTCATATTTTTACTCTACCAATCAATGAAAACAAACAAACTCGACTTAACTATTTATATGTAAGATAACTAATATGAGTAATAAAAGTAAATGAGCAAGCTAAAAATTATTTTACCGAATGCATGGATATATTGTCTTCATTGTCAGATTGATGACTGATTTGGAACACCACCTTATCAGCTGGCCACGCTATTGTCTTCCCCTGAGCTTGTTGCATACAGAACATATTAGTTGTAGGCCTCCAAAGAAAAGCTTCTGGTTTGTTTGGAATGTCTACCAACACTTCCATTGCATTAGGACCAAGACGAGCATGATTTACAAGCTCCTTTGGGTCACTAGAACACCAACGTCCTTCAGCTACAACCTCATCTATTCCACACCAATCTAAAAGCTTGCACTTGTCATGTGGTTTAGGGCACATACTCTACAATGTATCAGACTATAATTAGAACATAAAACTCTATCCGGAATATAACACATGCAATTTTCAAATTTTATACCTCATAATCGATTAAAAAGAAACATGCTAGATAATTTTCCTCTTTTACCTTAGGACTGGTATTATCAATTTCGGGCCCATTCTGCTCATCTTCATATTCCTCATTCTGCATTCTCTAACAACTCAAAAAAATATTATTATTATTAATTGTTAGCAAATCTAGTTATAAAGACCGGTAACTAATTTATAAACGAAACAAAGCTGAATTCAATGAGGCCCTCTCTCAAACAGGCATATGAAAAAGTTATATACCAAAACAGTAATGACGCATGGGAATGAGGTTCCCTCTGTTCATGTTCTCATCTTTTGCAAGTCACTTTCATCTCTGCATCCAAGATGTGACAAGAATATATACTATGATGTAAAATAGGGGAAAGTTTATTTGCATAGTCACAGTGGTCCAAAGGAATGAGTCTATTAATTCACAGAAAAAGACGTACATGAGGAAGTAGAAGAGAATAAAAACAGCACAATAAACTTTTGTGTCCGCTCTTGTATATATATACTCATATCAAATAATATCATTTTATACATGTTGGCTTTCATGAGTCCATGATACCACTGCAGTCAAATATGCAAAACAGTAGCTAGCAGAAAAATAAAAAATAAAAGATAAAACTGAACTACATCAGTACATATAAAAAATAAAAGATAAAACTGAACTACATCAGTACATATACATGCATCAATATAGGAGGATAACTTACATTTATACGTGCATAATACATTGAACTACATCAGTACATATACATGCATCAATATAGGAGGATAACTTACATTTATACGTGCATAATACATAGTAAAAAACTTACAAATATCACAATCTAGGATGCTACAGATTTATAGAAGAAAATGACCATAAGTATATAAAAGTTTTGTTTGTATGGGACTTATCTAGAGAGAAAAGCACTCAATACTCAAAAAGCAGGCCACATGTTTTAAAAGCTCTCTCTAAACTAAAGTACATCCACCAAAATATGCTTTTGGTAATTTAAAAAAAATCACTATTGGCCACAGTTACAAATAAAGATGTGTGAAGCTAATGAATGAAGTAAGATAGAGGTGAAATAATTCAACACTAGGCTACTAATTATGCTTCAAAACTCAATCTAAACAGTGAACATGGTTTCATCATAGAGAACCCTGGCATATCAAACATTGAAATTTTGATAGAACCACGGTGTAAAGCACATGATTGTAACTGCAGCACCATATTCAGATTAGAAACAAGAGATCTTGTGGAAAAAAATGAGAAAAAAAATTGTAACTCTTTGAGAAAAATGTTGTATTCTATTTCGGAAATAATGGCTTGGATGGCAAATATAGTCCTTTAATTGAAAGTTATATAGATGTACCTGATGATTTCCAACTAATTTATGGACCACAGTCTCCAAATGTTGTATTCTATTTCGGAATTCAGAATTTTCCTCTTTTAGCTGGAGCACATGTTTGTCTCTGGCTTGTAAGAAAGATACTTTGCTTATAGTAACTCCTCTTCCCATTCCTCTTAATCGCCCAGGTTTTATCTTTTCCTAATACTTTAGAAAGAGCGTCTTCTCTCACATTAGTTGATGAGGATGAAGGTGTAGCAGTTTCAATTTTTTTAAGCTTATCCTGAAAGGTACAACATATATATGTATTACATTATATATACATGTTCTTCAAGGCAAAGTAATATATATTCACTCATATGCAAAATTAGTGTCATTACAATTGTTTCACCAACTGTTGAATTCACCGGTGTACCATCTTTTTTTGTGTGAGCTTTGATCCAAGCTTTAACCCTTGACACACTAGATGGGTCTGCACTATTTCTTTTCTACAATGATACATGTTTAAAAAAAGAAAGACTGATGATATACTCATAACTTTGCCTTAAGAAAACATATATTAATGTATAATGTATTACCATATATCAGCTGTTAATCGAACCATTCCCTTGCGACTGCAAGTGTGTGGGACTTGTCTGTGCCTTAATGCCTTGAACTTTTCACTTTTGACCTGGAGACATTGGTCCTTTATCATAATAACATCTCTTAATATAAGCTAGTGATTAATTATCTCAGAAAAACATACCTTAAACTCTGGGCTTGTTTTTGTCTTGATAAATTTCTTCCAAATTGCTAAAGATGGTATGTTGTCTGGTTTGAGCTGAAGTCTTTATTCCTTCTTCTTTGTTGCTCGTATTTGAGCAACTAGTCTTGATTTTGAGGCCCTCCAAAGACATCCCATCGATTGAAATATGACATTCTTTTGCCATTCTTCTTCTAATATGAATCTTGCCTGCATTTTATATGCATGAAAGTATTATTAGCTGAAGGACTATATTGAAGGAGATTTTCATATGTTAGATAGCTTATGTAAAATGATAGTAAATTATTACCTGAACTTCTTCCCATAATACAACTTTCAGACCATCATCAAGGTTCCTACAATCATCAAGTGTTACAGGTACATGCTCTTGTACAAGAGGGCCCAAAAACGATGACAAGTGTAGTGATCCGGGTCCATATGGTTCACCAGAATCAGTAAATTGAATCTGAATTCGGTTCGCAGGGTCCCTAGCAAGATTTTTCTTTTTTGTTGGACCCCTTTTCTTTTTTATGCCTCTTGCAGCTTTAATTGTATCTTGTGTTGGTGCATCTTCAGCTGTATCATCTTCTTGGACCATATCTTCTTCAGGAATATGAATATTTGGAACTGGTCCATCTTGGGGAGCTTCTTGATTGACTTGCGTAAGGCCTTCCATGGCATTCACACCCCTCGCATAATTATCCACCTAGAAGAAGTAGGTACTCCAATTAAACTATCATTAATTAAGCTTTCATGAATTCTGAAATTAAGCTCTACAAGAAAAATAAACAGTTCTTCCTTTTACGCTGAAAAATAGAACACATATAGAAAACTAAAATTATAAAAAGCAGAAAAGGATAATATAGGCATATGATCATGCGATAACTATACCATAATACTGTTCTTCCTTTTACGCTGACCTGTCTTTGTAGTCTCACCAACCATCCTCGTTTATCTGTATTAGAAAAAATAAAGGTAAGTATCTATATAGTTAAACCTGGTTTCATATGTGAAACAAATTATACATATATCAAAATCACAAATAAACACAGTGACACACATTTAAAGCATGAACAACACCAAAATTATTATAAAGTAGCAGCCAATAAGACAAGATAAATCAAACATTTTAAAGTATGATCAACAATCAACCTCCTTACCAACTAGTTCCAATCACACAAGTAGTCCCTCACAGTCCACCCTGACATAACTCTCTGTCTCATAATCATCAATATCCATTTCAATTTCCTGTGGCAAAAAAGATGCATCTGCATTCTCATCATCTGTCTCCAACTCATGGTAACCTCTTGGTGGTGCCTTCATTACTACATACCAATTAGACGAATCATCTTCTCTTGAATAAAAAACCTGTTTTGCTTGAGATGCTAGGATATATGGATCTCTTGCAAATGATACTTGACTCTGCTGTAAGTTTACAAGTGTGAATCCATCTTCTTCCTTAACACCATTTCCTTTATTGGCCCAATGACACTTAAACAATGGAACATAAAACAGATGGTAGTCTAGTAAAATGATATCTGTCAATATTCCATAATATGAAACCAGATCAGCCACTTGTGCAGTATCTTTTGCACTTGCTCTACACATGGTTATTGCATCATAAGTCACCCCACTATTTTGTGTTTCCCTGTCAACATCCTTTGTGTGAAACCGTAGCCCATTGATAATGTATCCCTTACATGATAGTGCACTCTTTTTAGGACCATATGCCAACCATCTTAATGTCTTTGAATGATCATTCGAGTCAATAGGAATCTACAAAATATTAATATAAGCGTTAAATGGTGTACCTCAGCTAAGTAATAAATACAAGAACAGATTTGAGATGATTAATTTTAAATAACCTTATTTTTTGTCCATTCTGCAATTTTCTCAGTATGCCGCTTCCAAAGTAAGGTCTGATTTTTTTCAAGCTGTTTGTATTTTGCTTGCAACTCCTCCAAATGCATACTAATAGAACACAAGAACACAAGACCATATGAATTATAAAATAAAACTAATAAATAGAAAAGCAAACTAAATAAGTACATAAAAATAGCAATGTACTTACTCTAAAAATGGATCCATTATTGCTGTGTTCAGTAATACTGAACGATGTGCAATATCTTTCTCTTTATCGGTAAGTGTGATTGAAGTAGTCTTAGATATAGGACGACCTTCAAAAATGACATCATTTTCAAATTCTTCATTGCGAACTTCTTTTTCCTTCACATGTATTGACTGTTTTAGAAACTCGCTACAAAAGCCGATGCACTCTTCAGCTAGGTATGACTCTGCAATACACCCCTCAGGTCTTGCAGGATTTCGGACACATTTTTTTAGTGTCTTCATGTACCTGAATAAAAGAATTTAATCTTGTCCATGATCAAATTAAAATTTCATAATGGATTTTAGCATGAAAAAGAATAATAAAAAAATCTAACCTCTCAAAAGGATACATCCAACGAAAATGAACCGGACCACACAAGCGTGTCTCTCTTGCTAGATGAACCGGTAAATGTACCATGATATCAAAAAATGACGGTGGGAAAAAGCGTTCCAGTTGACACAAAGTTTCAATGATCTCATTCTCAAGGTCCAACAACTTTTCTCTATCAATAGCACGCTGGCATAATCTATTGAAAAATCTAGATAATCGAATTATCGCTTTTCTAGGCTCTTTCGGTAACAATCCTCTTATAGCAAAAGCCAACAATTGCTGCATTAGGACATGATAATCATGAGATTTAAGCCCCATAATCTTACAATCCTCTAATGTTATACAGTTCCCGATATTTGAGCAATAACCATCAGGCCCTTTGAAGTCATATATCCTCTTGCAAAATCTTTTCTTTTCAGACATTGAAAATGTATGTGGTGCTGGTGGAAGGTACAATCTGCTTCCCCGCTGTTCTGGATGCAAGTCTTTCCTAATTCCAATATCTTCCAAGTCCTTACGAGCATTTATCCCATCTTTTGATTTCCCACTATGCAACATAGTGCTTATTATGCTCTTACAAATGTTTTTCTCTATGTGCATCACGTCTAAATTATGATGTAATAGAAGTTCCTGTAAATAAAAAATAAAGAAATACATTAAGCAATTATAAAGCTAAAACAAAATATATAAAAAATATGAAATAAAGGAAAAACAGAACACTAACCTTCCAGTACGGTAAAGAAAAAAAGATAGATCTTTTCTTCCACCTAGTAAGCTCATTCTGATTATCAATGTC